AAAAAAAAAAAAAAAAAAATCACATAATACTTTAAACATATTGATGCATATGAGTGAGATGGGAAGAATAAATTAAAATTTCAAAGTTGGAATTAATATAGGTATTATTATTATTATTACTTTTATTTTGGAAGAGGATATCTCAAACCTTTACACTAAATCAAAGAAAAAAAGTCAAAATTTCGGCCGGGCACGGTGGCTCACGCCTGTAATCCTAGCACTTTGGGAGGCCGAGGTGGGTGGATCACCTGAGGTCAGGAGTTCAAGACCAGCCTGGCCATCATGGTGAAACCCCATCTTTAAAAATAAATAAATAAATAAAATAAAAATTAAAAAAGAAAAAAAGTCAAAATTTCAAGCAGTCACCAAAGAAAGTGAAATACTACATATCTACCTGGGTATCTGAAACAAACAGAAACTAGACTACCATGAAATTAAATTCCATTCAAATATTTCATTGAGGCCAAACGCTGTGGCTTACACCTGTAATCCCAGCACTTTCAGAGGCCGAGGCAGGCAGGTCACAAGGTCAAGAGATCGAGACTGTCCTGGCTAACACGGTGAAACCCCATCTCTACTAAAAATATGAAAAATTAGCTGGGCATGGTGGCATGTGCCTGTGGTCCCAACTACTTGAGAGGCTGAGGCAGGAGAATCGCTTGAACCCAGGAGATTGGAGGTTGCAGTGAGCTGAGATCACACCACTTCGGCCTGGGTGACAGAGAGAGACTCCATCTCAAAAAAAAAAAAAAAAGATACTTCATTGAAATCCCATTGAAATACGTTAACATTTTCTGATCTAAAATGAAAACAAATTTAACTATGTAATCTGTATAAGTTAGAATGCATATTCTATTTAGAGAGTTGATTAAGTAACATTGATATTTTATGAGGTTGTTTTAACTTCTAAGTTCGGAGTACAAGTACAGGTTTGTTACACAGGTAAACTTGTGTCATGGGGTGGTGACACAGATTATTTCATCACCTGTGTATTAAGCCTGATATCCATTAGTTATTTTTCCTGATCCTCTCCCTCCTCCCACCCTCCACCCTTCCATAGGCCCCAGTGTGTGTTCTCTATGTGTCTGT